TTGGTTGATAAAAAACAATTCTTGCACGGGCCAACCCTTCAGTATCCCTTTGTATATTTATTTATAAAATCCGTGCAGGAACTTTATTTCAACCAAATATAAAGAGAAAAAACTTGAACAAAAACATATGTTAATACGCCGACAAACGACGAAACAGTCCATCATCATATGCATTTTAAAATGCAGTGTTCTTTTCAGCCTATTGAATGTTTTTTGGTATTTTCTTTTTTTAATAATATATTTGAGTATATTTAGTTTTCTTTCCATTTGCTGATGTAGATTATTTTGCTATTATGTTATGTTAATAGTTGTATTTTGATTGTTTGTCATGGGATTATCGATATATACGCGAACTGTACTAAATTTCAATAAATGACAAGTTAACATACACGACGAAGTGGTGATTTCTGACTGAATGTAATTATTTAATTTTTTCAGCATGTCAGACTTCCTGCTTTAATGACGCAATCTTCTAAAAGACTATGCCTATGACAAGTAACATCATCTGTTTAAGCAGCCATAAGACCCATTATATATGGGGTCGATAAATTTTTTGCCCAAGTGTACATTCTTAGAAAGCCCCACTATTAAAAAGATAGATAGATAGACAGATCCACCTTTGTTGAGTGCTGGTGTTAAAAAATAGTGTTCTATTAAGGTTAACTGAGTTATTAATATATATTAATAAAAATTCTACTATAGAGCCCGGTGTTGAATTTCAAACCAAACCTTAATTCATAGATGAAGTATCGACCATTATAAAGACTGAAAAATAAAATTGACATAGATTAATTTTTTAAGGTTGACGGACACGCATTTATTAATTATTATTTTTTTTTTTTTTTTAAGAATTGATCATTCAAACCAGGAACTCAAATGAATATCTTTTTTCAATCGTTATGAGTCTATCGATTGAATAGACTTTTATTATAAACAATTGTCTTGTAAATGGAATTTTTAAATAATTCTGAATGTAAAATAAAAATTTTAGAAGGCAATTTAAGAAACAGTTATTTATTACAAAAAAAATTGAAGTAATTTTACAAAAATTTTTTGAAAACAGGTGGGAAATGTAAATCCTGTTATAAATGAACACACACACAAAATAAAAAAACAACTTGGGTTTTATAATGATGTATTTTGGATTTGTCCCTTTTCTATTCTGGCGAAAAGAATCGATATTACTTTTGATGTTTCTTGGAAATTGATTTCAGTTGCAAAAACAACATTTTAGAAGGAATTTTTTGAAATATTTAGAGAAAAATGTAAAAATAAATTTTACGCAGTGTAATTAAGTTTTGTTGAAATTGGTTGAAAAAATATTGAAATATATGAACGTAATTCAAATTTCAATGGTTTTAAATGACAGTGATATACATTTTTTTTCCTCCCAGATAACACGACAAAGTGCGTTAACTTAGATATATTTATTAAAATTTAAATTGAAAATTTTTTTTTGGCCAGTCTATTTCAGTCCCTTTTTAAATTTTGCCAATTCATTGTTATATTGAACATACCTGTTAATTCTTGTTCAATGTCATTGTGATTAAGATGAGAAATAATATGCATATTTATTAATATATATATATATATATGCCATTTTTGATAAATGACTACTTTTCTAGGGTTTTTTTTTCTTTTCAGTATTTTTAATAACATCTGCTGAAATTTTGGGCCGCGGAAAAAATTTTATTTGATTATTTTTTGATTTTCGCAACAAAGCATCTTTAAATCTTTGTTTATAAGGGATCCTTTTTTTTTAATTAATTAAAAACATAAATACCAGAATTTTACCTTTTTTTTAATAGGGGTAGGTAATAATTTTAATAATATGACACTCCAAGTTATCATTTTCACTATTTCAGTCGGTAACTAGTGGCTTAAATGAAATATAAGTATCAAAACAATCAGGGTCGACACTTCAGCAAATACGAATCCCTAAAATATATTCAATTCAAATTCATTTTTCTTTTCTTTTCTGCTAAACTAATTTCAAATTTATTTCATTAAAATATAGCGGTTTATGAAAACACTTCACTTAATTAAATCAACTTTTTATACAGTGAGACGTGGCAGTACACATGCATTAAAATCAACTGCATTTAAAATAATTCATTTTCAATTTCATAATCAATTTTATTCAACATACCTAAATTTAAAAACACAGCAAAATTAAAATTATATCAAAACGAAATATATTGGGAAGAAAATGTTGATTTAAATAGTATTGTTTTATAATAAAAATTTTTTAAGTAAACGTTTTATTCTACTACATTTTTCTTTCAGTTTATTGTTCAATTCACCGAAAACCAAAAGTTACAATTCTACTAACTGAAAGTTTGTCTTCAAAGATTATTGTTTAAGGTTTTGGACACGCCACAAAAATTCTAATTTTTTTTTTTTTTTTTTCATTCCAGGCCAAACTAAGTTAAAATATCGGTCTTAAGGTAATTTTTCATCAATGCAGAATTTTGTGTTAAACAATTGTCTTGTAAATGGA